TTGCTGTAAAGAATTAATTTTTTACAGCCCCCTCTACTAGCACGTAGGCAACCCCCTTTTTAAAAGTCCACTTTAACCTCATCTAAACTCCCCTCCACTAAACCGATACATGGCAACACACAATGTAACAGCTCTAGATGTTAATTATGCAACATCATCAATACTGACAGCTCATTTACTCCACCAGGAACACAGATAACAATCCGGCCAGCAGTACTGAATTGTAACTCGCCCAATATTATATACCTCATATACTGCAACAAATGCAACGAGGGAAACTATGTTGGCGAAACTGGTCTAACTTTCAGATCTAGAATGAACAACCACAAATCATCTATAAGACACAAACTCAACTGCCCAGTAAGTGTACATTTAAATTTACCTAATCACACCATCAATGACTTTAGGGCTATAATAATAAGTTGCAATTTTAAATCAACACAAGAACGACGTAACGCAGAAATGAAATGAATAATCCGGTTAAAAACTCACATTAAGGGCCTAAATAAGGACTTAGGCTCTACATGTGATTATGCCTTTATACGCAATATTTCTCTATGAATATAGTATCTAACTATATATGCTATATATTATTTCTACTTATGTACATTTTTTTTATATTCATTGATTTCTAAACTGTATTTTATTTGTCATAATGGTATCATGCGTTATATTATTTAAACTCATACATATACCTTATATTTCTGCTATTTATTTTCTATTCCACAATTGTTTTAATTATATAGCACCTTATTAATCTTACTATGTTTTATTTCCTGTTATTGTTTACTGTAGTTAAATAAGTCTTAACATTAAGCTGGTTCATTGGCACCGCCAATAAACTATCGCTTACATAATCATTTTGCCGATATCTTATCATGGTTTAATTGTACAGTAATTAATTCGCCCATTAACTTGTCACTGAACTTATATTTTGTGGTCCAATCAACTAATTGTATTGATAACTTGATTCTGATTGGTTTATTATTCTTTAGCTTGGTTCACGTCGAACTTTATCTAGATATACCCGTCTTGAAACATGATACGATAATCCCCTAATTGCGTTCGATGCCAAGTTAGAGCCAGATAAACAGCCAGCCAGTTTCAGGCCGTCGACGTCACACAGTCGAAAGGCTTGTTTAATAAAACATCTACTGTATTTTACGAACCTCTAGTACCAAGTGGTATTCGTTCAAAAAAAATTGTAAACTACTGTAGAGAAGGTGTGAGTTTCCACTACCTAACCTAGCCGACCAGTATGACCAGTGCAGTAGCGTGTTCTATCGCAATCTAAGTGGTAGCTTCTCTAGGCCCTGGCCCCCTAGCTACATTTACCTTCGATAAAAAACGAATTATTTTAATCGCTAGCTAGCATTCTTCCATTTAACAAAATATTGTTTTAATTTTCATTAAAACGTATGTATACTTTCTGTCCTGTTTTGTAGTTTTTAGATCGCTCAATTGTGTTGTTTACATGCACTTCGCGAAAATCTAGCTTCGCGGTGTCAAATAAGTTGCTGACTTCCACACACTTTTTTATTTCGTCATCGTAAACATGTGCGCTCATTTTAACGACTGGCGTTGGTGGTAGTTCGTTGAAATTGAATTAATAGCGACTCTTATAGCAGAAATAGAAAAGATTGAATTGTCAATAAATAAATACAACAAATCTGATTTTATTATTAAGAAAAATATACATTATCACTTTGAAAAACGTACGCAATCGGATTTTTTAACGTTATTACTTGGTCGATGATGCAAAGGCCAAAGGTCATTGGTAATATCGACTATTCGTAAAACGGACGTTTGCTGGGTGTTTACCCAAAATATTACAAATAATTTCTGAAAACCAGACTAATGAGACTACTTCGATGCTGTTGTTAGCATTGTTGAAGTACGTTGTTGCCAGCCAGAAGATGATAATGGTGGTACAATACAATAACGCCAAGGACGTGGCGTAGTGAGTGGCTTTAACAACGCCACTGCCTAGTTCACACACAAAGGCGTACGCTACGCCAGGCTTAAGCCAGCCTTACGCCGTGTGTGTGAACATAACGCCAGCTGGCTTAGATGCCTACGTTACGTAATCGTGTCCTTTTAATCCGAGCCGACTTTACCGTTAAGCAAGTTAATTTACCGTTATTCTAGTAAAGTTATGTCACTTAACTTAAGTGACTTAATTCCTTTAACTAGCTATAATTGAGTGGTTCACGTCGAACTTTTAACTAGTTAAGTGGATGTATATCTAGATAAAAGTTCGACGTGAACCCAGCTTATATGTATATGTAAGATCTCTTAAGTTTTCTCACTTTAACGTTGATGAAGATAGCAGGAGCTATCAAAATATCCGTTTGATTTTGTTATAGCTTAATAAATTTATTTGTGTTCCGCAAGTCAACTTTCAATGACTGTACACCGTTTTTTCATTGCTTTTGCATTTTATTTCTTCTAAAGTATGTACACATGACAAGATCTATGA